GAAGGTATAAGCTAAAGCAGAGAAGGCATTTTTTCCTGTCCATGAGCTGTGCAAATTTTATCCAGTGAAATGTTGCTCAAGATTAATACTGGTTAACACAAGAGTATGTGTTTCTCTCTTAGTTGAATCTCTTGATATTGAAAGACTTTACTACAGGTAAATGCTTTTTTTCCCCATGTGTTAATGGGCTCCAGACCAGTGAGGCTCACCTAGTGCCTGATGTGCTTCTAATTTGTAAATCATACCTTTTGGACAGCTGCACATGACTCTCCAGGCCTTCCTTACCTGCTAAGATGATTTCTAAGAGTGACTTGCTATTTTTTTTTTTAAAAAACAGAGAACGGATGAGTGAGGAATCGAAAATGGAAGCAGAAATGCATGCTGAACGCATAGAAGCCCTAAGAAAGCAGTTTCAAACCGAGAGAGAAACAGCCAAGAAGTCAGCACAACGAGAAGTGACTGAGGTATGGAATCAAGTGACGAAAAGTTTCTCGATGCGAATGCCTTTTAAGAGGAGAACCAATTACAGGATTTCCAAGAATGGCTGCAGCTATTCTTTGGCCCTTTTAATTCCTCTTTGACCAATATGACCAAAGTGATCAATCCATCTCTGTGCTCTTTGTAAATCGAAACACAGAAAGTTTCTGATAGACAGTTCTCTGCCCAGCAGAGGAATGTCTCAATGACAGCTTTTCCACTGGACAGTGATAAGTGAGGGCTAGCGGAAGAAGTGGCCATTGAGTAGACGACAAATCATCTGTCCCCTCAGTTCACTTCACTAGCACCCATCACTCCTCTACCTTCTCCTGAGAGGCACGTATGATCCATGCTCTGGTGTGTGCCAAATGAACTTTATTTAATTATGCTCTCTCTTTACAAAAGGAGTCAGGGTACACGAAATAAAAGTACACGACTGAGACAGCCAGCAGGGCTGGGACGCCCAGTATAAGGGGGTGGCCAAAGCTTAGTTAGAGAAATGAACATGACGTGTGAGCAAATGAATGGGATTTCTCTCTTCATCAGAGCAGAGACTTTGGGAAATGTCTGAGAAAGAGTGGTTAGCTGAGATGATATCAGCTGATAGCTGACCTTGACTGTCAGAATGTTGGAGGTGAACTTTCCAGTCAAAGTGGACCTCTGTGGGTTCTGAGAAAGGTATGGTGCACAATTTTAGGAAGGTTAGTCTGGTAGTAGTAGAGAATAGGCAAGAATGAAAGAGAGACAGGCGACATGGAGACTCACAACTAGAATAGTTACTCTGGACTTGAGAAGACTAGAAACAAGAAACATCGTTCAGCTGAAAAGAGAAAACAAATCAAAAGGATATTTTAATAGAAAAATCATTAAACAGACACTAAATGTTGTATCATGAACAAAGGGGAGGGAGAAATTGCAAATTAAAAAACACTATGTAAATACTAAAAAGTTATAAAGAAAATTGTGGGAAACAAAAAGGTACACTGAAGTTAAAGGCACCTTTAATCAGAGGTAGTTGTCAGAATACTTATAAAATGTAAATCTATTTAACAAGGATCACTGGAGATTGTGATCTTGTGAGGAGACAGGGGCAGAGTGTGTGATGTCAGGGGTAGGCCCAAGGTGCACCACATAAGGGTCTCAGCTCTGCCTTTAATTAACAATATGTTCATTTACTGTCTGCAATAATTTGAGTCTCTATTTCCTGAGTCATAAAACGGAAATCATCGTGACTACTTTCTAGGTTTTGGGTTTTTTTGTTGTTGTTGGAAAATAGATATTAAGTCATTATTACAGTACCCAAACATACTAAGTACAAGTATGTGATAGTTGTTAGGGCTTACCCAGTTTTGACAAAGCTATGATTAAAATAGCGGCAGAATATCTAACAGGAATTAGTTGGGTAGTAATAAAAGACCAGCACTGTGTCATGAAGTTAGCATCTGAAACAATGAGCTAGTATAGAAAGAAAAGACACAAAGAACTTGGCACGTTACACATTATCACCCATTGAGAATATTGTGTTCTTACCTTCTTCTCTGCTGTCACCTCTTCCTAAAAATCAAGCAGCACTGATTTAAATAATGTTAAAAGATAAACTGAGGCATGTTCAAAATTTTAAGAGTTTATTAGAGTAAAAATCAATTCGAATCAGGCAGTATTCAATATAGCAGATAAAAAGGAGCTTCAAGGAGCTGTTCAAAGTGAAAGGCTTTCATAGGCAGAAGGGAGAGGGACCACTTTACATTAGTTATAAAAGCAGGTTGGTTACTGCAAGGAACTTTCCTCTAGGGAGTGGCAGATCTTATCAGGCAGAAGAGCTGGCTGGCACTGATCACACAATTCCTGATGGACAGGTTTGAGTCCATTTCTGGAATCACTGAAGCATTAAGTCTCAATTTGGTGACATAGGGCTTAGCTTAAGCGACTCCATTTTGGGCCTGTTGTTTTTAACAATTCCCCCCCACACACACTTTTTTAAGTTTTTATTTATTTATTCTGAGAGGGAGAGAGAGAATCACAGGCAGCTTCTGTGCTGTCAGTGCAGAGCCGACATGAGGCTGTCTCACAAACCATGAGATCATGACCTGAGCAGAAACAAAGAGTCGCTTAACTGAGCCACCCAGGTGACCCAACAATTCCCCCTTTTGATCAGACTCTCAGACTGAGAGAGTTCATCATCGTTCAAGGCATTATCTACTCCCAGCTACTACTCTGGAGTTCTTGAAGGTTTTTTGCTGAACTTCTGTGTGGTATTCATAGGCCATGCCATTTTAGGTTCACATTTTTTAAGTAAGATCACAAATTATTATGAAATATTATTTAAACAAAGTGATAACAAAATTTTAAAGGCAAATACAGAAAGTTACACAGTTGTGAACAAAACTTAGCTCTTAATATTGAGAAGACTGGGTTTTCTTAAGTAATCAAAAAGACTTAATATAAAAGACAAAGTGAAGCACAGTAAATTATTGTGCTCAGGTGCAAAATCTTTGTCTTTCAGGTAGGTTACAAGGTTAAAAAAAACTTTCATAAAATCTTATCAAGAACAGACCAATAGTCCAAGGAAACTCTGTCCTTAAAATGAGGGGGGAAAAAATTTCTAATTTTGCACCAAATTCATTCCTTAGAAACTTGAATAAATCCATTCTAACTTAGCTACCTTTACCACACAGAAAATTCCTTTCTCAAGATTCCTTTTCCATAAACCTTCAAGTTTTTCTTTCATCCATTCAGATTTTGTTCTGTATCTTTTCCTCTCTCATTCTAAAACAATCGGTCATTTTACTTTACTTAACTCCTTTTTCATACACAGTTGTTTCCTTTCACCCTTATTATTTCAAAGTAATTATAATTACATATATTGATAGAATTCTTAACCCTTAGAATGCTTATATCTAGTAAAAACTAAGAAGTAAGCAATTGTGCAGTGTGTTACACTAACATTCTGTGGGTTGACAAGTCTATAAATACATTTCTTAATTTCTAGAAGTATAGTCTTCATGGTAAACTTTCAAATGTAGTACAAAACAGGTTTACTAACAGACCCAAATATCTTTAGTTCCCCTATGAAAGAAAGCCAAAAGTAGATAAACTTATATTTAGTAATGTTTTGGTATTTTATCTTATTTGGAATTGATCTAGATATTCAGTAAGTACCTATCATTTAATTTATTTTCATATAATTTCAAGGTTTCCAGTTACCAAAAAGATTCTGGAAGCTTTTATCTTCCATTTAACAATTACATTTAGATTACTCGTGAAAATTTTATGAGACATTAAAACAGCTAACCACGATCTTAAATTATCTTTCTTGCTGACAAATTCTGTGACAGAGAGAGAAGCTTCTTGGAATTTTAGTAAACCTGGATCAAATAGAAGTATTACAGCTAATGTTGATAATTCTTAAGACATGGGTGTTTTAATTAAAAGGTAGCTTCAGGGGCACCTGCATGGCGCAGGTGTTGATCTCACAGTTGGTGGATTCAAGCCCTTCATTATACTCTCGCTATCAGCACAGAGCCTGCTTCAGCTCCTCTGTCCCCTTTTCTCTCTGCCCCTCCCCTGCTAATGCACGCTTTCTTTTAAAAAAGAAAAAAAGATAGCTTGAGTTTGTTCTTTAATTTGTTGATGATTATCCTTGATCATGTGAACTTTAAAAACATATTATATTCTTTATTTGAGAACACTTAATATGTATAACTACTTGTTTGTCCTTAAACCAATTAAATAGAGCTCTTTACAAAGTCATTTTGGCAATACCATTCAAAGGTAGGGGAAAAAATCTAATATACATAAAAGACAAACATACAAACAGACACAAACAGATCTTACGGGTTTCTTTTTGTAATTTTAGTCTTGAGACAGGTACAATAATGCAAAGCTCACTAGTGTAGAACAGTTGGATCCAAATTGGGTTCTTGACAAATGGAATAAAGTTAAGATTACTTGTTCAGATGGCTAAAACTTAAGATTTTTCATGGGCCTCGTTTTCAAAATATTGTTTCCTCCCCGCTTCCTCCCCTCATTGTAAGACTGGTCTGCATTCATGGAGAAGACCAAATAGAACACTTACAACTCACAAGGCACAGAGAAAGGGAACGAAAGTCCCCTCGGTGGAACTTGTGTTCTGAGTCCAGATCTTTTACACTATCAGCATGAGATGAATAGGGAGGTTTGAGGATCAGTAAAAAGAAGAAGAGGGCTTTGAATTGTTTCTAGAGCTGAATTTCTGTTCTTGTAAACTTGATTTATAAGTACAGTTTGTAATTTCTCAGAAAATTGGGTTGCAGCCTTTAGTTCATGGGCTGACCCACTTATCCAACTATATGATCTTTATTTGCTTCTTTATATCAGGGAGATCTTCATATAAGGTGGAAATCAAAAGATTCTTAGGTTCTAGATTGAGAGCTGTGTGTCTTTGGAGTGTTTCAGTACATTTTTCCAGAGGCTTTAGAATGTTTCTCTTTCTCTCTAGTTACTAGTTTCATTTTAGCTCAGGGGAGAAGATTTCTGCCTCAGCTTCACTCAGACCCAAAGTATCAACATGCAGGAGGTGAATTCCTGTTGATGAAAAATAGTGCCATCATTGCAGAGAGGAGAAAGGAGCTTTTAAAAGTCTATCAGGCTCTGAATAGGGCCATCCTCTGACCATAGAATTCCTTTAAATCCTTTCAGATATCTGGCCAGGTTTTAGCCAGGACCGCAGTAAATATTCCTAGCAGTATTAAACAACCCCCTGAACAGAAAAGAGAGCACAAAAGACACTACCCTCCCAAAATCAGAGTCACTCCCAAAGATAGCCCTAAGAAAGAGGATTGTCTGGGTGGGCAACAGTCAGTAGGCCCCTGGCCATGAATGGGATGGCACCCCCGTTTCTGTCCAGCCTCTGACCTGATGGGAGCCTAGCCAAGTTCTCAGGACACAAAACAGGGTAAGCAAGACGACAGTAGCTGTCCCTGGGTGAGAAAGGAGCGACAACCAATGGGTACCCACAAGCAGATTCATGAGATACAATTCAAAGATTAAATCTTACAGTTGTTTCTTGCCTGTCAATCTGGATTTGGAAAGGAAAGGACAACGTGAAATTTTTTACCTTCCTCTCAGCCACACATCACAGACAGACATCTGAGAAAGCTGACTTTGGTGAGAATTTCACTCTTTGCTACCTTCTGCTAGTTGTCCCAGATCCCAGCTGTAGGCTCTGGGCAAGTGGGGTGTTCCAGCAGATCTCATTCTAGTTCCCAGATACCACAGAGAAGGGAAAATAATTTTCCTTTTATCCTTTATGAACACTTGGCTTTGCTTTTTTAGAGCACCTTCTCTAGAGCACCTCCTACATGGAAAGCATATTTAGGTTAAAAGTTCTCCACTGTAGCCATTGTAATTCAGAAGTATCTGTTCAGCCTTAAAGTTTTATACCAGAGACCTCACACTGGACCCAGTCTAGAAAAAGAAAGGCTTAGAATCTGAAAGCTACTAACACAAAAGCTGTAGAGCCACGATCCAAGAGGGACTTAACCTGTGGCCTCCAGAGGCATCAAGGAAGCAGGCGCTCAGTGGACCAGTGCTGTCCTTCATTTTTCTCTTCTGACTCCAGAACTGTTAAATGTTTAATGTGCCTCAGTTTTATCTTTTAAGAATTTATTAGAACACAAATTTACTCAAATTGGGCATCATCCAGTCTAGCAGAGAGCTCTAAGGAGCTGTACAAAATGAAAGCCTTTTTATAATAAAGGCAAAAGGGAGCAGGAACAAGTTCTACTAGATAAAAACTTGAGTTGATTATTACAAAGTTTCTTTCCTTTAGGGGATGACAGGATCAGGCAGTTTACCCAACTACTGCTCATCAGGTAATTCCTGATAGACCTCTTTAAGAGTTCGTTTCTGGGATCCACTCTCACCACTGTTGTTTAACATAGTGCTGGAAGTCCTAGCATCAGCCATCAGACAACAAAATGAAATCAAAGGCATCAGAATTGGCAAAGAGGAAGTCAAACTTTCACACTTCGCAGATGACATGATACTCTACATCGAAAACCCGACAGACTCCACCAGAAGCCTACTAGAACTGATCCAAGAATTCAGCCAAGTTGCAGGGTACAATATCAACGTACAGAAATCGGTTGCATTTTTATACACCAACAATGAAGCAACAGAAAGAGAAATCAAGAAACTGATCCCATTCACAATTGCACAAAAAACCATAAAATACCTCGGAATAAACCTAACCAAGAATACAAGAGATCTCTATGATGAAAACT